TTCCTTCCTTCTCCATGGAACTTAATTCCCAATTTTCCCTCTGTGAATGGTACTTTATGAACCATTAGCCCCAGAGCAGGAAAATGTCACTTAAAGTGCTGCCATGGGTCACAGGGTCATGCAATGTCTTTTTTTTCCAGTTTCTGGATGAGACAGGACAGCCTTGGTGTCTGGCTCTTGAGTGGATCTCCTGCGACTTTCAGGTTATGGCTGTGTCCAGCTAACTCGGACCTGTTCCTTGTCTGTGGCAAGGAGAGACTTTGTAAGAAAACCCCCAAAATGCCTAATCACTTGCATCAGAGATGTGCTTTGTCTTCAAAGTCAAACTAATGCCTAGATTAATTGCTGTCATAAAGCATATCTATTTTTAATGGTTCCTCTGCACTTGAGCTTTTGCACAGACCTCTAATTCTATTTTAAACTTAATGGGAATACTCATTAAGAAAGGGAAGCACCTTCCCAGAGGTGTAGACTGAGCAGTAACTTTTACAGCCCTTGTCCAGTGCAGTTCCCAAGGGTACACTGGCACATGTGGGGCTTAATTAACCATGCTGTCTCCAGAAGCAAATCCATCTCTAGTGTGATTGTTACAGAAATTAAGACTGATTGTGTTCAAACACTGGTGCTTTGCCAGTGTAAACCATCCTCCATGGACCCCTGTAATTCTCTTGTTTCTTGTTGCAGACACATAATATTTTTTAAGACATGAAATAATTACCTTGACCACAAAGATGTTTAAATTGGGATTTGATAACATCATTCCCCACCTCCTTTCCGGAAGGCAAGAGAAAGTGTGAGCATTGCAAAGCTATTTAATGGATCAATACTTTTTAGAATTATTTTTTTTCAGTTTAAGTTTTTAGCAGAATCATAAATATATCCAAATGTCCCTAAGACTCTTGATATGGAGCATCAGCTCTTCACCTTGTTATGCAGAGAGGAGGCATTTTTTTTTCATTTTGCAAGTTGGTGTAGGGTAAAGAGGATGTGCAGCAGCATAAATAAAGGCATCATGAAGACATGTGAAATGCATTTTTATTTTTTTCATGTTGGAGCACCAATGCTGAATGAAGCTCTCTTTTAAGGTTCTTGCCAAGCTTCTAGTAATTTGATTCATTTCTCTTATTATCAGTACAATCTCTGTTCTTGAAAGCATTTTGGTATTTAGAATCTCTGTTAAGGCTGTTCTTGAGCAAGCCAGTGTTTGTGAATGACCATCTGGAAGCTGGAAGCTCTCCTGTGCCTCAGCAGGGAATGTGGCTTTGGCACTGGAAGGGGCCACTGCCCAAGTGAGAGTTGACTTTTGACCCTTCCAGTTACACTACCATTAAATGGCATCTAGAGTGGAAAGGGAATTTGAACACAGACTTGTCAGTTTTCAAACCACAGGCTTCAGAGAACGGAAAATAATTGTCAGCCTACACCATGCATTGGGGAATGCTAACTGTGAGGAGTGAGAGGTTCTGCCCTCGGATTGATTTTTTTCTGTGTGTTAAACTGCAGTGCCTGACTTTGTAAGCTGAGGCACAGGTAAAATGTAGACTATTTACCATTTTGACTCATTTTCCCCTCAATCCATAGGCTGTAAGTACCCGATCCTGTGTTAACAGAGCACACTCAGGAAGTGGCGTCAACTCAGATAAATCTGCTTTCTTCTGCGTTCATGTGAGACATCAGCCAAAGCTAGGGTTATTTTCTTCATATTTTGGGATCTTCAGAGAAGTGGTGGCAAATTTAAAATATCTGTCAGAAGGAAAGGAACCTGGTAAGATTCAAGCTAGGAAGTAATGTGTTTCTGCTTCCACTGCCCTCTGAGGTGTACCAAGGAGGATTAGATCACAGTGACAAGCTGACTGAAGAGCAGTGCAGAAAGCTCAGTGTTTGAGTTTGTACGCCTTGCTGCAGCTGCTTTCCTCTTCCTGTAGTTCCCTTGTTTCTCCATCAGTTATTCCAGCTCTCAGACTGTTGATTCACGTGGTGTATGTGCCATGTTTGGAGCTGAATTTTCTTATGTGTATTGGGCACAGCAGTAGGAACAAGCAGTAACCTCTGAATCCCTGGGTTTTCCCTTACAAGTCCTTAATCTCAGCACGCAAGGTCAGTGCCACTACTGAGCTCGAGAAGAATGAGACACCCTCCCCATTGCCCCAAGCCAGAGCCCTTGTTCTTGACATGCAGCCGCCGTCTCAGGCAGAGAGAGGCCATTTCTGAGTGGGTCACCAATGGCAGTGAATTTTGCTGTTACACGCCCACAGCCAAAGAAATGCCCTGTGATGGAAGACAGAGCCAGCTGAGCACTGATCCTGTTCACTTCCTGCTCTCAGAAGGGTTTCCCCCCACTCCTTCCCATGTCTTCTCTTCACCAGTCTGGTTCACAGGACCTTGCTGTCTGACCCAGTCACCTCCAGATCAGCACATCTGCTCTGGTTGCTGCAACCCGTGTAGCACTGCAATGAAACTTAAGGGTTGAATAGTTAAGGAGTTTATTTCTGCACACCCCTTGCTTTGCAGTCCCTATTTTTTGTCTCCCCCAGCCCACTGCGCCAGGAGGCTTGGTTCGGGAGGGAGAGAAGGAGCCTCGGAAGTGAGGGTGGCTGGAAGGAAAGCCAAGGTGCCAAAGCTCACTAGGTGCCTCTGAACCAGGCTGGGCCATGTTGGGCTGCATGAGAGGACATCTGTGGTTTTTTCCTTGCTGTTTCTGCCCTTGCTTTGTCCTGCAGGTCTGAGCACTGTGGTGCCATTTTTTAATGATAAAAAGGAGATAATAGTGCTTCCACCTCTACAAAAGCAAGTTGAGGCCACCAGAGAAAAGGGCAGTGCAAAAGGTAAGTATTTATTCTAACAGCAGGACACCTATCTTGAGGGTACTTGAAAAAAAGAGTCAAGATAGAGCAGAGGAATGTAAACATGCTGGCTTTGAAGGCTAGGACCATCAAACACCAGCTTCTAGGCATGGGCATGAGCCAAGAGCACACGAAGTGCATGCACAGTTCAGTGAGCACACTGGTGTCCCTGGGCTGCATCAGGCAGACACTAACAGCAACGGAGGAATTAAGCACCGGAGCATGCTGACAGAGTTATGTTTCCTTAGAAATCATTAAACCCAAAGGCAAGTTGTTTTATAAAGGAAACACCCTGTGTAAAGTGCAGGAGATGAGAAATGACAGGGAATTGGCTCCTAACCATACTATGAGCCTGGAAAAAGCAGCAGATGTAGACTTGTGCAATTTTCTAGCATGTAATTTGTTTTTACATTATGTACAACTTGAGGTAAAATGCACTGAGACCCTGTCCCATAGCTCATGTTAGACACGCAGCATGGCTGTGTAAAGATGGTTTCTAGTTCTCTCTCCATCCCACAGAACTGGCTCCTCTCAGGGGCAGTCAGGGTGTGTGAGAACAAAGTGTGCTGAGACCTGGTTTTACCACCAGCCGTGGCTGCTCAGAGCCCAGCAGCTTCTACAAGGCCACAGACAGCCCAGACTCAGGGGCTGGGGAGAGCACACACATTCAGGCTGCACCATAAAGATGTTTTTTTTCCTCCATATTTCTACTGCAATAAGGAAGACATGCTCTGAAGCAGCCTGGGTCCCTCCACTCTCCTCCACTCCCAAGTAGAACACAAGACAAGGAGCCATGCAGCTTCCTGTCCCCCACTCTGTGATGCTGCTATAGCAGCTTTTGTAGAGCACTTGGAAGAAAACTCTGCTTGCATCTTTTCTTCTTTGTATCTTACAAAAACCAAATGGATGCTTTAAGTCTTTTTGTTGTTGTCGGTTTTGTTGTTTTCATTTCTGGATGGGAGAAAACCACAAGAAAGACAGGCATGAAAGTTTCTCTGGAGGCTCCTTTTGTGTGCACGTATGTCCAGCCTTGCACTCGGAGGCAGCACGGTTGCCCTCAGCACAGAACGTCTGCCACCCATGTGAGCTCATGCGCTGTGGTTTGCATAGCCGTGCTCTCAATACCCCTCCCAAAGCAGCCCCTTAGGTCCCACGTCCAAGCTCTTTACATTCGGTGCTTAAACGTTCTCTGAAATTTTTTCACTTTAAATGTTTTTGGGGTTATTTTAAAAACTAATGTAAAAAACATTTCTTGAAGCCTGACGTCAGCTGTGGTTGATGGGCTTTGTTTATTCATGCCAGTTAACAGGCTAAGTGGAGGTCTACTGTACTTTTGCAAGCAATCTTAATCCCTTCAACTGAATAGCAAGAAGAAAAAGATGGGTTGACAGAGGCAGTTAGCAGAGATCATACTTACACATGTTTGTTTTCAGTAATTAGTCACAGTGTTAATAGAAACATCCACTTTAAGCAAAGACGGCTGATTTGCACAAACAGTGGGCCATATGCTCTGGTGGGTGTGGAAGGGGGTTGATAAAGCTAAAAAACTTTTCAGGAATTTTTATATGTGAAAACCTGCTATTATATTTATTCATTTATTTATCCAGTGTAATTATTTTCATGCCAGTTAGGGTTTGCAATATTTTCCACTTCAAAACATCAGAATAAAAACAGAGGTCTCCATGTTCACCTTGTCTGTCTGTCTCTCTCTTCTCTGCCCCCTGCCTCCTCACACACACACACACACACACACACACACACAGAACAAGGGAATTTCTAAGTGGCTGTCTATTGCTCAGGGCTTACATATGGATAGCATATGAAAATGAACTAGGCTGTAGGTGTTTTAACAATGTAATTTAGATAAGTTGCCTTTTTTACTTTTCCAATGGTGCCAGATGGGTTTTGCTGCCAGAGTATGAAAGCAACTCTTGCCTTTTACAAAGATTTATTGTTTTTTGGTGATATGACAGACTAATACTAGTTCCAAAGGGGTAGATATGCTGAGTTGTTAACATTCCCCTTTGATTCCAGTGTATTCTGTTCCTGTCAAGTATAATGGGGAAACTTCCTATATGTTATGAAATGCTGCGTGTCTCTCCAGTTTTGGATTTGGTTTTGATTTTTTTTCCTAAATAATAAAGCTAATTGTTTTAA